GTCTCGAACCCGCGGGCTCAGGCAATCCACTCACCTCAGCCTCCCAAAGGTGCGGGATTACAGGCTGAGCCACCGAGCCCGGCTAACAGTGTTCTTTTAATTAGAACATTAGGTATTGCCTATGTGGTCTGTACTGTTTTGTGATTTAGACAGTCTACTCCATATCAATTATTGTTGCTTTAGACTTTAATTTGATCTTTTCTCTTCAGTTAAAACAAGCAAAATTAAATGGAGTGATTCTCATACTCCATGTATATCTAGCAAATGATCAGCAAAGCTGGATTATAGTCATTATTATTTTAATAATTTAATAAATTTGATATATCTAGATTATCATGAGACATTGTTCCATTTTATTCAAGACAGCCTTCATATTTTGTAAATGTTGAATAACAGTGCACTGATAAAGGATATCTGATATCACATTTCACCACCCTGTTCCCTACTTCTTTCAACAATGTCAAAGTTAGAAAAACTATGTTTTAATTTGTCTCCTTTATTGGATGGCTGACATGCTGACATGAGTTAATTTTTTATTTGTTGTCAAAATAAGTGTACTGTCTAATATTTGTTAGTTTACTGTTCATTTATATTTACTTTTGAGACTTGTATGTAGTACTTGCTACTTCCTGAAATAAAATACATATTTTAATGCTACTAGTATCTTAAAAATTTCAAAGATAACTCAGTTAACAGATTCTATTTGATTCCATTAGTGCAAGGTCAGCAGCATGTTTAGTCTTTAAATTGATTTATATTTTTATTATGCAGAAACATAAATGTTCTGTTTAACTGAACATGTATATTAAAAAAAAAAGATCTCCTGGCATTTAAGCCCTAAATTCCTAATTTTAAAAACCATTCTTGACATACATCTCTTACAATAATTTTTTTTCAAAAGTATTATTTTACAAGTGTATTTTACTTAGTTAAACTCATGTGGAGCCATAATAAGGACTATTTCTATCTAGGGGTGCTTGCTTCCTGTGTGGTGAATTTTTTTTCTTCCTCAATTTTTCTTTTCATTCTAATGGACATTTAACCTTGTTATGCTTCAGTAATTTCCCCTTGCAATGCAGGTGTATACTTCTACTTTTATTCATTTGCCTTAAACAAATTGCAATCCTTGTCCTAGTGACATGCAAAACTCTCAGCTGAATATTCATTGTTAAAGTAAAAATTGTTGGTCAATCACTACAAGGTGGAGTTTTTCACTGCACCATGAGGTTTGCAAAGATAAGAAGTACAGACAGTCCCCAACTTAGGATGGATTGGCTTTACTTTTAAACTTTATAGTGGTATGAAACTGATATTTGATATGTTTTTTGACTTATGATGGGGTTATTCCTGGATAAAGTCACCATAAGTTGAAGTACGTTTTTTTTTGAGTGTCAATTTTAAAATTTTTATTTTATTATCTTTATTTATTTATTTATTTATTTATTTATTTATTTATTTATTTTATTAATCAGTATTTTTTATTATGGTTTTGTGGGGTACAGTTAAGGGTTAGGTGTACAGTTACATTTCATTTGGGCACCCTGTTGATAAGAGGTGTTTTCCCATCCCCCGACAGATATTTGCTACTGTTAATCCCATCCCCCTCCCCCCCATAGTTTCCCAGTACCATCAGTCATTTTCTCATAGTATTGCATTGG